GCCCCAACCCCCTGATTGGCCCTGCTCTGTGCGTGACAGGGGGTGGCGCTGCAACCTCCTCATCGACCCTGCTTTGAGTGTGACAGGGGGCGATGCCCCAACGCCCCAATCGGCCCCACCCTGAGCATGACTGAGGGTGGCATCGCAACCTCCCGATCCGCCTTGCTCTGTGCATGACAGGGGGCGGCGCCCCAACTCCCCAATCAGCCCTGCTCTGAGCCCGACCAGGGGCTGCACCTAGGGATTGGGCCTGCCCTCTGCCACCCAGGAGCAGGCCTAAGCCAGCAGGTCGTTATCTCCTGAGGGGTCCCAGACTGCGAGAGGGCACAGGCCAGGCTGAGGGACCCCCCTCTTCCCCCCGAGTGCACAAATTTTTGTGCACCGGGCCTCTAGTATAAAGAATAAGATGCTAACAAAAGTCCCATTTGTATTAAATGAGAGCAATGCTGACATAAGAATATAGTTGCATTTTGGTTTCATTGCAAAAATTTGTTGCAATGAAACTTTTAAAACTTAGGGCTTTAGTCTTTTTCTGCTCCTCAAAAGTTATATATATGTGTGTTCAAAAGTACTTCAAACTATTACAATTAAGGGATTCAGTAGAATGTGGCAAGAGAAGCTCCAAGATGAAATTGTAAATGTGCAGTCCTGTTTGTTACGTCACATGGGAGGTTACCTGCAAGGATTTCATTTTTCACAAGGGTGTCCTTCATTATGTCATACGCTACTAGCTCTGTACAATTGATGGTGACATTTCTTGCCAAATTAGGAGTAGTTCCTGAGGAGATAAAAAAGAAAATGTTTAATAGCTCCCTTATATGATAAGGTGCTAATTGGATATGTGTGTTTTAATGATTTTAAAAATCCACCTGGGAATTAGTTACCTTTCCAAAGGCCCGACAAGCCTTCAGTTGTTACTATAATTCTGTAAGCATTGTAAGTCCCAGTGTAGCGAGGTTTCGGACCATAGAGATGGCTCTGCGCCTGAAGTCTGACCTTCGCGACCTCTGTGGGTTGGCCAATGAACACAGACACTCCTCCAGTCGTCAGCCCAGCTAAGATCTTGCCTCCTAAACTAGCTGTTGAAATCCACAAGGAAGAAAAAAAATCAAGCAAAATGAAAAAACCATCAAGACCCAGAATGCAACTACATGTCTTTTTAATTTTAGTGGTTAGTATTATTGTATCTTTATATCTTTTCTACTCCCCTAATACCTATGCATGTGTGGGTCATGCACTACATACATGCTAAATCGTAGTGGGGCAAGAAGACTTCAAAGCTGAAATTCTTTTAAAAAATGAGGATTTTCAAGGAAAAAGGAAACACAATGCCTATTTAAACAGTGGCTTAGTTGTTTCCTATATTTAGTCCTTTTTTTTTTTTTTCAGGCTTTTCCTAACTGGGGGGAGGCACTGGTTCAGATACTGAGGTTTGCTTGCCAGTTTGTTCTGAAGACCCTGACCCTGCGGGGAACAGTTCTGAACAGAGCTGGGCACAGCACATGTCTCTGGCTGTGGGCCCAGGAATGCTGGTCACTTACTTTCTCTGCCCTCGGTGAAGTACTCCCGGGCGGTGTCATAGAGCCCGATCCTGAGAGACGCAGAACTGATTTGTCTCTGCAGGCCAGCAGGCAGTCCGTTGTAGAGCTTCAGTGGCCCTTCCGTTTTTGCCACAGTGATGACTGTTCTCAGGACACCTTTATACTTAGGGGCACCGGAGGTCGGGCATTCACCTTGAATCTGGGAATGAGAAAGGGAGGGTCAAAGGGAAGGTAGATTGAACAGGGGATCCTACCCGGTGAGAAAATGGCAAAGGCTGGTATCAGGCTGTCCTCTGTGGAGAGACCTGAAGCCAAGCCTCTCTCCAGTGTTCCTATTTGCAATTCCTTTTCCCTTCCCAGCAACAGCTCCCCTAGCTATCCATTTATCTGTCTTTCTATTTCTCTATTTATCTAACAGCTATCACTATATACTTATGGAGCAAGACCGACTGTACTTTTGAACATTCCCCCTTCCCCAATCCTCACCTTCTAACAGCTATCACTATATACTTATGGAGCAAGACCGGCTATAATGTACTTTTGAACATTCCCCCTTCCCCAATCCTCACCCCCACCCCCAATGAACTCTCCAGAAGGCAGGCTGGGAAGATGCCCCATTGAATCAAAAATGGAAGAAGACCCCTGCCATGTGGCTCAGTGTTGAGCGTCCACCTATGAACCAGGTCACGGTTGGATTCCTAGTCAGGACACCTGCCGGGGTTGAGGGCTGGCTCCCCAGTGTGGGGTGTGCAGGAGGCAGCTGATCAATGATTCTCCCTCATCACTGATGTTTCTCTCTCTCTCTCCCTCTCCCTTCCTCTCTGAAATATATGAAAGGATGGAAGAAGAAAGAGCTTGGCTTGCCTACTCCAGAGGGCTGATATGCTTCGCTCTGAGAACACGTAGTGCCCCCCTAACATTTGGGGTTAGTCAGTGGTTCTCAACCTTCCTAGTGCCGCGACCCTTTAATACAGTTCCTCATGTTGTGGTGACCCCCAACCATAAAATTATTTTCGTTGCTACTTCATAACTGTAATGTTGCTACTGTTATGAATCGTAATGTAAATATCCGATATGCAGGATGTATTTAGGCGACCCCTGTGAAAGGGTCGTTCGACCCCTAAAGGGGTCGCGACCCACAGGTTGAGAACCGCTGGGTTAGATAATAATCATTCTCCGTGGCCCTTGTGATTTTGCAGTTAATCTTGGAAAAGTTCCGGTTTCCCACCCTAATGCACCCAGTCCTGTGACAAGGCCAAACTGGTGTGGAAGGTGGCCACCTGCCCTACCTCCCTTTGCTCAGGTAAATCAACGCCGGAATCAGAGCTCTCTGCCTGAGATGCACCCCCTCCCCATCTCGCTCCCTACCTGTTGCCGGACTTTGGCCGTGTCCAGCGGGAAGGTGATCACATCCGCCACACAGGCCGCCAATCCGGCTGAGAAGATCTTGACCCCCATGGTGGGATGCGCCTCGGCGGCTGTCGCGCCCTCCATCCTCGCTCAGATTGCGGAGCGAGGCGCTGGCGCCGAGGAGAAGGCTGCCGTCCCGAAGGTGGAAGTTCAGTTCTCTCTGCCCCTTTACTCCCGTCAGCTCGGGCAGCAACCCGCTGTCAGCCCTGGGGAGCCGGGCGGCTGGCAGCCTGGTGGTCCCGGCGGGCACAGCAGGAGGAGGAGCGCAGGAGTGGGGTCGGGTCGGGCAGTGCCTCCCTCCCCACCTTCTCCCCAGGAACACCCACTGCGCCCGGGCTGGCAGCGCCGCGCGCCCTGCCCTCGGTGGGGGACTTATGTAGCCGCAGCTCCGGGCTGAGCCACGCCAGATCTCGAAAGACCCGGGCTTGGGCCCTGCGGGGCGGGCCCTGGGGCGCTGAGACCCTCCCACCCGCATGCACCGTCGGCTTCTGGGGAGCCTCCCTTCACCCAGAGAGCACTCAGAGCGCACCTGGTGGTCTGCGCCCCGCGCGCGGCTCTTGAGTAAGGCGCACCGGTAGCTGGCACCCTCCGTGGCTTCTGTCACCCTTTGACTGCGCCCCAGGGCTGGGCAGGGAGCAGCTGCCTCCCCCCACCCCCGAAATCAGGGCAATCTCAGTGATTCTGGTACAAGGTCCTGAGGATCTGGGGCTGTCCGAGGCAAGAGGGGGACCTTTGCAGGCACCATCTAGGCTTCCCTTTTACTAGAAACGCATCCTCCTTTCTCCTCTCTAACCACCAAATCCAGACCTGGAAAAATCCCAGGCAGAGACCAGGAACACTGAACTTTTCAAATAAATTTTCGTTTGAGCATTTTTTATTTAATTAATTAATTTATTTTTTGCAGGAGGCTGTCCAATGAGATAGCAGACATATGGAAAGCAGCTGGTAAACTGCTAAAGTGCTACATGACGGGAGGTGTCACTTGCTCCTTTTCATTTCTTAGGAGGGTGAGTGGAAAGGCTGCTCAGCTCTGCTGCGGGTGACCCCCCTGTGACCCTGGGCCAGTCACCTGCACTCCTAGAATGTGGTTCCAGAGCCACCCCAGGTGAGAAGTCCTGCTGCTAAGATACCTGGAGTGACAAATTCAACATTGTAACCGTGTTCGTCATGGGAGGAGGAGCTTTACCTACTCTGTCCTTGTGCACAGATCTGTTTGTGCGGGCACTTATTCCTCTGGTCCCCCAGCAGGAGGAGCATAAGATGCTGCCCCAGGG